GCCTCTAAAGGATATTTAGGAATTCTTCCCATACTGGTTGGGAATATTTAGTTTTAAAATATATTTGCAAAACCAGCAAAAGTTACATCTATGATACAACAAGCAAAAAGCAAGGGCGTGCGAAGACCGAACTGCGCCCCCCCTCCCCTCATTTTTTTCTTTTACCTCAGGAACCTCCAAGAAAATAATAAACTTCCTTCTTTTCCAAAGACAATATGACATTTTAAAAAGGGTAAGGGCAATCTTTCATAGAAGAAATCCCAGTTAATGGAGAAATGCACATGATTCCATCCAAAACAGAAAGCTAAACTGCAGTTCTCAAACTGCACATGACTTGCAGGTTCTTCAGGCACAGCTCTTGTACAGGGGAAGCAAGTTCCAAATGGTGAGCTGCCCCCACCGCTTCAAAACCGGTTCCACAAGGAAGCCGTTCACACCTGCAGCTCCCAGCCCTGAAGTCTGCCCCCCTGATCTCCTTGCACTCCAGGCAGGAGCTCTGAGCAAGGTTCAGCATGGTCAGAAATGGGCTGTCTCTGAATGAAGAGATCTTGTCTATACAGACAAGAGATCTATGACCATGCAGACAGAACAGCTCAGTTTTATACATTCAAAAACATGAAGAGTAAACATATCTAAAATCTTATCATATGAGAATACACCTGTGGAAACGAAGCAGCTCCAGATAACTTTGCTATCTTGTGGTCCCAAGATTAAATAGGACATGCCCCCAAACTAGCAACATGAAAACCTATAGTAACACAAAACCTGCTAAATCAATATGACTAAGGCATAAGGAAACGCAGAGTCCAGCAGTTTTTTAAGCCCTCCTGGAATAACTTTTTTTTTTTTTTTCCTGAAACCTGAATCTGGTTGTCTCATTTTCACCGTGGGCCTCTGTAACATAAACTTTGGTTCTAACACAGCCCAACGACGTGTACAGTGTAACTAAGATGGCAAAAAAACACTGGTTCTTCATTTGTCAGCACGTGCTTGATCAGATAGAACAGGCAACCCACTGACATGCAGTCTCCTGTCTTCTGGTGACGTTGCATCATAAAGGCTGAAAAATAATCTTATCCTAAGAGTGCTACTGGAATAGAATCATAGAATCATAGAATAGATCTGCTATAAAGATGGCTTCACATTTTTCATCAAATACCCCTACTATTGCCCAAGAAACATATAGCTTTATCTAAAGAACTGCAAATGGCTACTTGACCTTTTTTGGTCAAGTGTTTTACAGCCCAAGCCTTACTATCCAACAGTAGAAGCACTGTGATTATCAGACCACTAGCATGACTACAGAATAACCCATACTGAAGAATCAATTACAATAGCAAAAAAGAAAAATAAAATTAAATTCCTTAACATTATCTAAAAGCCTTACCACTAAAAACAGCCCAGTGCACCACGTCCAAGGATGCTAATGACAACAGCCATCCCCTATCAAACCACAACGGTTTTCCACTTTAAAGAAAATGTTAATTACTAATCAGAGCAAGCCTAAGGTTTATGCAGAACATTGCTGGATAGAAGCTCAGATAATTAAAGCAATGGGATGCAAAAATCACTCCCAGTGCTTCTGCAAAAAATCATGTGTAATTCAGTAATTCAGTATTTTCTTCACTACATATTTATCACCATGGAAAGAACTCAGGTGATTACACTGACAACAGCCCAGTTTGCTCGTGCAAGACAAGCACACACCACTTTTCTATACTAAGAATTACCAAGGAATGACTTGTATTGCAGGGAAAAAAACTACTTGGAAGACACACAAGAAGCACATGCCCGAGATCCCGCAGACATGAGCGAGGGCCTGCAGATGAAGTACTCAAAAGACATAATTTGCTGTGGAAGAGCTCACAGGAAGTGGAATAAATGCATTGCTCAAGAGTCAACACTGGTCATTCAACAAAGTCAATCCATTAAGGCAGGATCAAAGATCTTAAGTTGCATTTAAACACCATCAGGTGTTTAAATATTTATTTTTAACCCATCTATTCATTAAACTCTTCCATTCATGAAAGTGCTGATCACATCATGTTTACTTGCCAGGGAAGTTCACCACAGTGGTAACTTCTTATCTTCAGATTAGTTAGCAAAGGAATACTATACATGCTCCCACGGCAGAAACAGCCCAGAACGACAAATATAATCTCGTTTCTTGTGACTCCCTTGATTATCTTGGATGAACTAAAGTACTCACGCTTATAGTTACATTTAAAACCTTACCTAATTATTAGGACATTTAAGTAAATGTTGAAGATGTGAAATAACGAAGAGCCACGGGAGAAGAGCTCTACATTTTGGATTAATCACCAGTTTTCTCTGGCATTCATTCTTACCCTGGGAGCTAAGGACGGAGCTGCCAGGAGGGTTAAGAATGCGGCAGATAACACACCCGAGGGCTGCTGCCGGCCCTCACACAAGACAGTGTGTTGCTTCATCTGGTCGTCTTTTATATATATATATGTATGTATGTAAAAAAAATAAAGGCTGTCGCATCGCCGCGCTCACAGCCCGGATGCGGGCCGGGTAACGGGGCTTAAAAGAGAGAGGCGAGTGATTCCGAAGGCGCCTTCCGAGGCGGGAACCACTGGGTACCCAGGAACGGCAGAAAACGCTCGGACAAGAAGCCTCGGCCCCGCTTGGGCCGAAAGGGGGGCGGGAGGCCCCGCCCGCCCGGTGGCCGCGGCGGGGGGCGGGGGTTCGGGGGGTTCACCC